TTCAATTTCTCTGTAAGGCGGTAATCCTGGCAATTTCTTCCGAAAAAACGTCGGGAAATTCTCGGATAACCGGAATGGTATCCAAATTTATCTCTTCCTTCCTATCTTCTTTGATATAAGAAAGAAAGCCTTGACACCCTTTTCGAAGGAGGCGATTAGCTCGAATACAAGAGATTAAATATGATGGGGAGTCTTTTTGATACCATTGAAGTAAAATACTGGTTGATTCGGAATACTAAAGGTAACCATTTTCTTGCAATAATCAATATTTGCATGGTATGCAGAAAGCCAATCTATGCCTAAGATTACATCAAAATCTTGAATTTCTAAGAGTAAAAAAATCAACCAACAGTTCCTTTTCTTCTATCTTTATTACACATGATTTGTACGCTATATTGGTGTCAATTGAATTTCCCATCGATGTGGCTACCTCTATAATGTAATCTAATTGTTTTGGTTTTACCTTTAAGTAGCATACAAAGTGTCGTGACACGAATGAATGAGTATATCGAGGATCAATCAAAACATGATCTACTTTCTGGAAGATAATAAGAGTACCTTGGATCACTGATTTGAAGCCTGAGCGTCTGATCGCAAACACTCTTCCCTTCATCTGAGGCTTTTAAGCTATCTCTCCCTGCTTTGGAAGCTGTTGCATCTGTAAGCTAGGACATTCTTTAATATGATGCCCAATTTTCTACAGTTAAAATAAGCTCCAGTATTTCAATAATAAGGGCTCGACCCATGGTTTTTCCCACATTTTTTACATGGTTTTATTGAGCTTTGAAGTGCCCAGGGCCTTAGCTTCTTGTTTGGCCTTTCAAATTGTTGTTGATTAGATGATGTGGGTCTAACATGACTTTTTTGATTTTTCATCTTTTAGTAATCTTCAAAATCTTTTTCGATAATTTGGGCTCGATCCACTATTTTAGCATAAGTTCTCAATTTCAAGACTGATATCCTGCTTCTCATAGCTGGCCTAAGACCCCTTTCAAATTTTTTCACCTTTCTTGCCTCATTGTTAATCATATGTAGTGCAAACCTGGCCAATTCAGTAAACTTGGCCTCGTACTGTGCTACTGTCCGATTTCCTTGGATTAATTCTAGAAATTCCATTTTTTTTTCTCGAGTAAAATCTGGGAAATACTTTTCATTAAATGCCTCTAGAAATACTTCTCAAGTCAATGGTTTATTTTCTTTGACCAATACTCCTTTTGCCATTCGCCACTAGTGTTGTGCTTCACCTTCTAACATAAAAACTGCCAAGGCCACTTTCCTATCATCAGAACATTCCATTACCTCGAATATTTTCTCCAATTGCATAATCTATCCCTCGGCTTCCAATGGGTTTACAGCAAGCTTAAAAGAAGGTGGGTTCAATTTCTTAAATTGTTCGATATTATTCCCACCATTTCCCGTAACTGACTGCCTGGGTGGATTGTTGTTTTCCATCTGATGTTGCATGAAAGAAACCATATTTTTCAAGGCTTTGTGAATTCCTTCCGTATTAGCTTCAGCTATTCTGAATATTGACTTCGTCCAGTCTGTAAATGCAATAAATGTGATTTTAAGTACATTCTTTTTAAATTTCTTAAGAATCTTAAACCTATTGCTCTGATACCATATTTGTCACACCCCAAGAATTTACAATACAAATATTCCTGAGATGTGTCAGTCAAAACATATATACATCTCTTGATAGTACAAATTTACAGTGGCGAATTCTTACAAAGTAACAAAATAAAGCTTAGGCACAACTACAATATCTTCCAAGGTTGATCCTGACGAGCACTCAAATAAAACCGCAGTTATCCTGAAAAATGTTTACCATAGTTTAATGAGTTTGGTTACTCAGTAAGTGATCATCATAATCCTAAAAATAATCATGATGAAAGAAATAAAATAACTTTCAAAATGGAGGTCAATTAAAAACAATGCGAGCACAGGTATGTATAGATAACAATTTTACTTTCAGAAATGCACAATTAAACATAATCCAAATGATTGAAATGCATATAACATTTTGACGACATTGCATAATTCAAAAGATTCCACAAAATTACCTTACTGGCGTCTCAAGTAGGTCACCTATATACGCCATCAACGTCCTGATGGATCCACTTAATCCCAATCGGCGTCCCAGATAGGTCCACTTAATCCCTACAGGTCTACTTATACCTCACCGGCATACCGGATGAGTCCACTTAATCCCAACCTGCATCCCGGATAGATCCACTTAAACCTCACCGACGAACCGGATGAGTCTACTTGCATACTTAAAGTGTTTCTAAATCTCTTTAAACATTCGAAAGCAGCAATATTATGTACTCAACATATCACTGAAATCATTAATATGAATTTCACTAAAACAATTAATAACAGTCACTTTCAATAACATTTCAAAAATAACCAATCAAATATTTTGGGCTCAAATTTAGAAGGGTAGCAATTCGTAAAGATATTCTAGCATAATTGCCAGTTTAATATGTATAGAAAACTCTTATAGAATTTCAAGAATACGGAATTATCACAATTTATGAGATGTCAATTCGCAATTAAACATTTCACAACAATGCTATAACCAATTGCAAAAATATCAATTTTTTTAAATAATAAGGCAGTCATTTCACATGAAATTTACAATGTCTAAATATTCAAAAACAGTAGAAAGAAATCTTACAATTTTACTAATAGCAGAAATATC